GTCCTTCTGTTGCTAAAAAGTCATCTTGTTTATGTTTATAGCATATTCATTAATCAAGTTTCAAGATCATGATTGTTGCACTAGCAATAGAACTACCCAATGCAAACCTCCCCAAGGTGACAAGGTAATTGAGTATTCAAAATCTAGGAAATCCTACCATAGGTAGCAAGGAAGACACATGCATATGTATTTTAGTGAGCATCATGAATAGGATGACAAGGAAGGTTCTTAGCTATACTTGCCTTGATCAAAGTTCTCCTGAAAGTCTTGCTGGTCGTAGAAGTTCTCTTGATCACCAACGTAAACCTCACCGTCTGAACTCGATCAACAACACCAAGCAGCAATATACAATCATCTGAGCAATCATGCACGAAGCAAACAAAGGGCTATAATTAGAACAATACACCACCAGCAAGAAAACAATTTGAAAAGTGTATAAAAACATTCTACTCGTCACTACGATCACATAGACGCGAAATTCACCGAAATCGGATCTAAAACGAGCAAGATATGGATTTTCCAAGTTTTCCTATAAACTATTAATGCATTAAACATGAACTCGAAATTTAAAACTAGAACTGAGCTAACAAGGACACTAACACGTAGATCATGAGATTACGAATCCAATGCAATTTGAACGGATCGAATCGGAGTTAAAATGAGCATTTTATAAGCATTTGAAATCAGTGGCAAAACTGTAATTAGATGGAACTTGATTTTGAATCTGTTAGATGAAAAAATATGTTTTCCAAAAGAGAAAACGTATTCTCTGGAATACGCTTTGGACTGCGGGTTCAAAATCTAAAGAGCTCAGGGGCTCTTTAGCAAATTTTCCCCACGAATGGGTATCGGCCTCTGTGGGCCGTCCGATCCAAGATGGACAGTTCGGATTAGGTCCGAGGAGGAGGGCGGCGGCGCAGACGCCGGAGAAGAAGCGGCCGCGGCGGCGAGAAATCTCGTCGACGAAAGCATACCGGATGTTTCCGGCCACCATTTGGCTTGGGACTTGTCCCAAAAGAAAGAGGGAAGCGAGGCGATCTCACCTAGCTCGAAGATGGGGTTGGATTCAAAGCGTGGACAATGGTGAGCTCGCGGAGGCGGACGATGTTGAACTGCACACCACGGCGACACGATATGAGCAAAATTGAATCGGGGAAAAGGCTCAGGAAGACTCACGGGATCAGGGCGAAGCTTTCATGCTAGCTTACAGGGGCGAAGGAGCGACGGCCGCAGCGAATTGCGAGCTCGGGCGAAGCTCGACAATGGCGGCTAGGGTTACGGTGGCTCTGCGGCTCAAGAGCGAAGCGGCGGGTCGCTTAGGGTTGTAAAGGGCATCGCGGACGCGGTCGTTCGGCCTTTATAGGGACAGGGCGTGGCGCGGACGCCCACGCGCGGATCGACGCTCAGTCGGTGTCCGGTTCGACACCGAGCCGGAGGAGGAAGAAGGCGACGCTGACATGCGGGCCCGGTTCGCCAGCGAGACAGAGAGAGAAGGGAGGCGGGCTGCGGCCGCTGGCGCTCGCGGGTTGCTGGGCTTCGACTTCGGCCCAAGAAGGAGGAGGAAGGAGGCCTGCTGCGTCTGCTGGATCGGCTCGATCCAAGATGAAGGCTGCGGCGCTGCTGGGCTAAACAGGCCGAAAGGAGAAAGAACGGGCCTCACGGCCAAGAACAGTGACTAGCAAAGCTTTTCCCTTTTCCTTTTTATTTTCCAGAATTGTTTAAATGCTTTTCAAAAGGGATTTGAAAACCTTTTCTCAAGCAACAAAAACCAGACAAATATAAATCAAATATGCATCAGCATGTAGGTAGCAACATGTTCTTAGGCCTAAGACTAATTTTAATTTCACAAAAAGAATTATTTTGCCTATATTAAATGCTCACACAAGGCTAATAAATCAAAGTCAACTATTTTAAAGTGATGCAAAGTTTTGGGTGAATGATTTTTAAATTCTAAAAAAATCAAACGAAGTGTGAAAATCATGAGATTTGTCTATAATATATATATATATATAGAGAGAGAGAGAGAGAGAGAAGTATAATAGCTTCTTGATATTTATTTTGTGTGGAGCTTGGGTGCCTGTAATCTTGTACGCAGCAGCTCTGCATGATGCGATGCCCATTTTTCAGATAGGGCCCATCTTCTTTCTGGCACCTGAAGCTGCAGCACGGTGCGATGCCATTTTTCAGATAGGGCCCATCTTCTTTTTGACACCATAAGACGGCCCTTGCTTGGCTGCTGGGCCGGTCTTAGGCAGACAACGATTTCAGGCCCGTCCACGTCCAAGCCACCGATTTGTTCTGCTGGGACCTCGACTCGACCGTCGTGTGTGTGATTGATGATTAGTCAGCGAGACGAGCGGATCACCGATCACCGGTGGCAGGCATGTGTCTGTGCATCACAATACTCTACTCCAGTCCAATACAGAACCTTCGGCAATCAAGGTCGCCTGACAATCCAGCAATTTCATATTCCTCGTCTCCCTCGAACTTCCCGCTCCACCGCAGACTGGCTTGTTCGCTAGTCTGAAACTTGGCTGAAAATACTATTTTGACTAGTTTGTTGTGAGAGAAAAATATTATTCGGCTGGTTTGATGAATAGTAAACTGTGAGAAGGATCAGCCGGCTGACTGGATGAATCCAGACCAGCGAACTGACCGACTATCGTATCCAAGCTCTCAACCCCAAGATCTTGCCTGCTCGCTTCCACGTATGGACGCCCCCCAAAACCCTTCTCCGTCCCAGCAACGGAGCGATCGGATGCGTCCGCCGGCGGCTGGAGGGTGGCGGCTGCACCCGCGGGGCAGCGGCGGCAGCAAGCTAACGAGGCGGATAATCAGCAACGTCAAGATCACCCTCCTCTGCGCCTTCGTCACGCTCCTCGCCCTCCGCGGCACCGTCGGCGTCAACCGCCGCCTCGTGTACATCGCCGGCACCTCCGACAATCGCGCGGCCCCGGCCAGCACCAGACCCGTCGACGACACCGAGCGCATCCTCCGCGAGACCCGAGACGACTCCGACCCGGACCCCGACCCAGACGATGACCAGCAGCACCTCGGCGGCCACGCGGGAGCACTACGACCGCGGCGCCGCGTGGACGACGGCGAACTACAGCCTGGGTCCCCGGGTGACGCGCTGGAACGCCAAGCGGCGGCGGTGGCTGCACCAGAACCCGGGGTTCCCGTCCGGCGACGCGCGGGGCGGCCCGCGGGTGCTGCTGGTCACGGCGTCGCCGCCGGGGCCCTGCTCCAGCCCCACCGGCCACCACTTCCTGCTCCGGGCCACCAAGAACAGGATTGACTACTGCCGCCTCCACGGCATCGAGATGGTGCACGCCACGTCTCGGCTGGAGGACCCCGAGCTGTCGTCGTCGAGCGGCGCCGGCGGCGGGTGGGCCAAGCTCGCGCTGCTGCGGCGCCTCATGCTGGCGCACCCGGAGGTGGAGTGGATGTGGTGGCTGGACGCCGGCACGCTCGTCACCGACATGGGGTTCGAGCTCCCGCTGGTGCGCTACGAGGGCGCGCACCTCGTGGTGCGCGGCGACTCGTACCTCCTCTTCCAGCGCCGGTCCTGGGACGCCGCCAGCTTCCTGCTCCGCAACTGCCAGTGGTCGCTGGACCTGCTCGACGCCTGGGCCGTCATGTCGCCCAGGGGCCGCGCCCGCGACGACGCCGGGAGGCTGCTCACCGCGACGCTGGCGGAGCGGCCGCCGGGCGAGGCCGACGACCAGTCCGCGCTCGTCCACCTGCTCATCACCGAGAAGGAGCGGTGGATGGACAGGGTGTACCTAGAGAACCAGTACTACCTGCACGGCGTCTGGACGGGACTGGTCGGCAAGTTCGAGGAGGCCATGGAGAAGCACCACCCGGGGTACGGCGACGACCGCTGGCCGTTCGTCACGCACTTCGCCGGCTGCAAACCTTGCGACGGAAGGCACACCAGGTCCACGTCCGCTTCCGCGTCCGGCGATGGTGGCGGCGGCAAGAATCGTAGTGATGAGTACCCGCTGGACCGGTGCATCAGCGGCATGGAGCGCGCCTTCAACTTCGCCGACAACCAGGTGCTCAGGCTCTACGGCTTCTGGCGCGAGTCGCTGGCGAGCGACGAGGTCAGGCGGGTGGCCAACCGGTCGGCGAACCCGCTGGAGGCCAAGGAGGAGGCTCTCGCTTTCTTGAAGAAACCCAATGAGCCGGATCCATGGATTAGTGATGTGCGCAAGAATCGGAAGCCCAAAGGAAAGGAAGATTCTGTTCTTGCAAGAATCCTGAGGAGACTGGGATGGCGATCCAAGTTTTGAAAAGTCTTCATTTTCTTTCTCTTTTTTTTTTTGGTGTTTTGGTTGTTCGTATATACAGCAAGTGAATTGCCGTTGCTTGCTGGTTCATGACAAATGAAACATTTCAAGAGGCTATGATTCAAAACATTGCATGTTCATAATCTTTTGCAGAAAGAGTATGGTACACTGCTGCATCAGTGCCATAAATTTTCTACTACTAAACTTGAAATAATTTAAGCAGTGGAGCACATTTATTTTTTCAAATGGAATACCAAAGATATTCAGAGGGCATCATATGGTCTGAAATATCACTGTTAAGTACTAATTGGTCAGAATTTCCATACACGATATGTTGCACCTGGTTGCCGAAAAGAATCGCATACAGACGAAAAGAATAGCATTCCAATTCTGTAGGCACACTAGCTCACTGACATCTGATCTCTCTGCGTTTTAGTAGAAAACAACTTAAACAATGCTAATCCGAAGAATGGTGGTGTATTACTCTCACAAATCACAGTCACATTGTTTGAATCATACTACTCTTGTGCCCTGTTTCATTTTTTCTGAATTCAACTGAAAGCATCAGACATATAACAGCAATGTTTCTGTTGAGTGGGCTAGCTTTTGCAAAACAAAAGCTAAGACAAATCAAAACGCAAACTGATCAAAACTCGTACGTATAATGACTGTGTCTCCTCCAAGGCATTCATTCTTGGGCTCTCTCTTCTAGGTGCTCGAGAACTTGGCGTCCATCTTGAGCGCCGCTTCCTTTGCCTGGAGCGGGTTGGTGGCTGGGTCGGTGACCCTCCTGACCTTGGCGGTGGTGAGCGAGCGGTGCTGGAATCCGTAGAGCCTGAGCACCTGGTTGTCGGCGAAGTTGAAGGCGCGCTCCATGCCCCGGATGCAGCGGTCCAGCGGGTAGTCCTCGTACCTGCCGCAGGTCTTGCACCCGACGAAGTGGGTGATGAAGGGCCAGCGGTCGTCGCCGAGGCCCGGTGGTGATCCTCCATCATCTGCTCGTACCTGTCCACCAGCCCCGTCCAGAAGCCATGGAGGTAGAACTCCGTCTCCACGTGCACCTTGTCCATCCACCGCTCCTTCTGCACCAGCAGCAGGTGGATGAGCGCCGACTGGTCGTCGGCGTCGAACGGCGGCCGGCCCGTGAGGCTGGCCGTGAGCAGCTTCCCCGCCTCGACGCGTGACGGTCCCCGGGGACCCATGGGCACCCAGGCGTCCAGCAGGTCCAGCGACCACTGGCAGTTGCGGAGCAGGAAGATGCCGGCGTTGAGCGCGATCCACGACCGCTTCTCGAACAGCAGGTCCGGGTACCCGTGGATGACGAGGTTGGCGCCGTCGTAGCGGGACAGCGGGAGCTCGAACGCCATGTCCGTGAAGATGGCGTCGCTGTCCACCCACCAAATCCACTCCACCTCCGGGTGCGCCAGCATGAGGCGCCGCACCAGCGGCAGCTTGGACCAGTACCCCGTCAGCTCCGGGTCCAGGTGCGCCATGTTGTGCACCACGTCGATGCCGTGGAGCCGGCAGTAGTCGATCTTGTTCTTGGTCGCCTTGAGCAGGTAGTGGTCGCCGACGGGGTTGTCGCAGGGGCCCGGAGGCGACCCGGTGACGAGCAGGACACGCGGCCGTCTCCCGCGCCGCGGGTCGACGGACGGGAACTCCGGGTGCCGGGACATCCACTCCCGCCGCTGCGCGTCCCAGTCCTTCACCTTGGGACCCAGGCTGTACTCCCGCACCTTCACCACCGTCGCCGACGCCGAGAAGTTGCCGAAGCTCGCCGCCGTCGCGTTGCGCGGCGACGGCGTCGACGACGAGCCGTCCTCGACCACGAACACGACGTCGTCCGCCTCGGAGTCGGAGCGGATCTCGGCCAGGATGCGCTCCACGTCCTCGACGACCTTGGCGTCCGCCGCCGCGCCGTCGAGGTCGCCGCTGCTGACCAGGAGGTTGAAGCCGGCGGTGCCGCGGAGGACCAGCACCGTGATGAAGCCGCACAGGAGCGTGATCTTGATGTTGTTCAGCGTCCGCTGCCGCTGCTGCTTCTTGGCGCTGCTGGCACGCAGCCGCCCGCCGGCGGCACCGGCCATGGCTATGCTAGTTCCTTTAGGACCTTCAGATGCAGCGGCAGAGGTGCACCGTGCACGTGCTTCTCTCTGGATCGCTGGGAGCTGCGTGTGATGGCGATCTCGTGGATGTATAGGGGCTAGGGGCTAGGGAGAGCATAGAGAGGGTTTTGCATTGGCCTGCCGACGAGCTAGCTAGCAGGCAGGAACGTTCTGTTTCAGTTGGCACGTTTGTGTGCAGTGGAAGTCAGCGGGGCGCGCGGGAACTTCGAGGGAGAGGTGAATATGAAATCGCTCGAATTTTGGAGCGCTGCGTGCTCATGCTGGGCAGCACGATTCCCGTTCTGGGTCCTGACCTTGTTTAGATTGCAAATTTTTGTAATCTGGACACGGTAGCACGTTTCATTTGTATTTGATAAACTTTGTTCGATCATGGACTAACTAGGCTTAAAAGATTTGTCTCGTAATTTACAACCAAACTATGTAATTAGTTATTTTTTTTACCTACATTTAATGCTTCATGCATGCGTCCAAAAATTGATGTGATGGAGAGAGAGTGAAAAAACTTAAAATTTTGAGGCAATCTAAACAAGGCCCTCGTTTAGATTGGGGGTCAGGAATCAGTATTTGGCACTGTAGCACTTTCGTTTGTATTTGACAATTATTGTCCAATTATGGTCTAACTAGGCTTAAAAGATTCGTCTCGTAATTTACAATCAAACTGTATAATTAGTTATTTTTTTATCTACATTTAATGCATATGTCCAAAGATTTAATGTAACAGAGAGAGAATAAAAAAACTTACAATCTAAACCAGGCCCAGGGCATTATGCTAATCACCGCAGAGGATCTGAATGCTCTCCGTTCCGTTCATCGCTGACTCTTCCTCCGATGTTTTAGCAGCAGCAAACACAAATGACATCGGAGCTCTAAACTCTGCACGGGAATCGTAGCACGCGCAAACCATTAATCAAGACAGCGTAGAATGCGAAATTGACATCAATGTTTTACTATTCACACAGGCTGTATGCATGTCCATTCACAGAGTGAGCAGGCAACTGGCTTGGCTACTTACGGTAAATAGCTTGAACATTTTTATTTCCATGTGTGCAGGCCACCGACAGAATCATGGCTCTGGCATCAAGCTGGGGGCACAAACTGTTTCTGCGATTTTTACAGTCCACATCTTTTATTTGGAAAGGCAGCGGGAGATCTATATATAGCAGCATTAAATTGGGCAAGGGAGGGAGTTGGGCGTGTATTTTCTAGTACTAGGATGGATGACAATTTGGAATTAGTTTAGGACCTAAATGCATAATTCAGGACCTGGATGAGAACTTGAGACAAGCTTAGAAAGGTAAACTCACACTTTAAAAGTATTGGGATCTGGATGAGAACTTGAGACAAACTTAAGGAGGTAAATGTGCAATTTAAAAGTACCGAGACCTAGACGAGAACTCGTGACAAGTTTGAGGACCGCCAGTGAAATTTACTCTTAAAAAACTTTAAAAAATATACACCTTTAGATGTTATGATGATTGAACAGTTTAGATTAAATAAAAAATCAATAACAAATATAACATAATGCTTTAGATTTCAACAAAGCCAAATATCAATAATCCAATGGTAACACCGAAAGAACAGTCCTCCTATAGCATAGGCGGATCCAGTGGGTTGCACAGGTATGGCACGGCATACTCTAGGCCCAGCCCAACAAGGATACATGTATTGTGTAAAAAATCATTTGCTTCACCAAGACCAAGACCGCTCGATCGCTCGACGCTCCCTAATCATGACTGGCCTGGCGCCGCCGAGACTCCTGCCACTGGCTGGCTGGCGGCCGCCCCCGCATGGCCTCGCCCTCCCGTCGGCGGCGGCGGCCGAGTGGCCGGTGCCCTCGTCTCCGCCCAAGCACCTGCGTCTCCGCTCTCCACCCCGTCTCGTCTCACTGCCGGCCGGCCCCCCGACAACCCCTCCTCCTGGCTCCCTCGCCTCGCCGCCTGACTGCCCTTTTATGGACTTGCTGCAGCCCTCACCGGTGAGAAATCGATCCCCTCTGCTCTCCCCCTTTGGCCCTTTGTTCCTTTAGTTTTCTCCAAAATCCCTAACCCTAACTTCACTGTTATCTAATTAACTAATTTGGTTGTAGACTTGTAGGATTTGTGAACTATGAAGAGGGATGGAGACATTGCTTCTTTGTTCCGAAGCATCTTGCAAAAGAACATGCTTCAGCTTCATCTCCTGTGGTGGAAGTGGAAGAGCAGAATCAAGAGCAAGAGCAAGTGGAAGAGAGAGTAATTGAAGAAGTTGTTGGTCCTGCTCCTACACCACCTACTCCATCTTTAGAACCAATTGAAGATGTGTTGCCACCTCCACCGCCACCGCCACCGTCACCGCCACCATTGGGTTTTGATGTCAATCACCTTCCACAAGATCCAGGAGAAAGGTTGCCTATTGCAAGTTATCATGCTAATGATCAAGATGCAGTTAGAAGAGCATATATTGTTAGAGGGGCATTCCAACCTTATGCACATGAGTTTCCAAAAAGAAAAATTGGAGATAGAGATCGTAATTTCACATGTATGTGGTTTGCCAAATATGATTGGGTAGAATATAGCATCAAGAAGGATTCTGTGTTTTGCTTTTTCTGCTACTTGTTCAAACACAAGAAATACAAGGGCAAGGGGTCTGATAAATTCATTGTTGATGGTTGGAGAAATTGGCATGTAGGAGACAAGGCACTTTTGAAACATTGTCGCTCTCAAGCACACAAGGAGGCTCATGAAAAGTACATTGCCTATCTAACTCCTAGTGCAGCTATAGATCAGAAAATTGAGAAGTGGAGTGATGAGGAAATAAGGCTTTATAAAATGAGATTGACTTATTCACTAAAATGTATCAAGTTTCTTTTGCGTCAAGGGTTGGCATTCCGTGGACATGATGAAAGTGAAGAGTCTAGCAGAGGAGGGAACTTCATAGAATTGTTGAAATTTCTTGCAGCAAATAGTGAGGAAGTGAACAAGTTTGTGCTGAACAATGCTCCAGGTAATTGCTCATTGACTAGCCCAATGATCCAGAAGCAAATTATTTCATGTTTTGCTATAGAGACTAGAAAGAAAATAATTGAAGAGATTGGTGAAGATCGCTTTGCTATCTTAGCTGATGAGTCAAGTGACGTATCACATAAAGAACAACTAGCCCTTTGCTTGCGTTTTGTTGATAAATTAGGAAGGCCACGGGAGCACTTTGTTGGAGTAGTTCATGTAGATGATACTACCTCTTTATCACTTAAGGAAGCAATTGAGTCTTTACTTGTTAGTCATGGCTTGACTTTAACTAGCATCCGCGATCGAGGGGATATGATGGGGCTAGCAATATGAAAGGGGATATTAAGGGGCTGAAAAACATTGATCATGCAAGAGTCACCTTCTGCTTATTATGTCCATTGCTTTGCACATCAACTACAACTAGTTCTTGTTGCCGTTGCAAAGGACAACACTGATTGTGTTTGGTTTTTGGAACAAGTAACCCTCTTGCTGAATATTGTTGGAGTTTCTTGTAAGCGTCATGGGATGCTTCGAAGTGCTAGACTTGAGAGTATCATGAAAGCACTTGAATGTGGTGAACTCAAAACTGGGAGTGGACTAAATCAAGAGATGGGATTGGCTAGGCCAGGTGAGACAAGGTGGGGCTCTCATTACAGAACTGTGTGCAACATCATTTCTATGTATCCTATAATCCGTGATGTACTGATCACTCTTGGAGAAGATACAACACATAAGGTTGATTGGACAAAAATTCATTTTATGGTTGGAGCATTTGAGTCCTTCGATTTTGTGTTCAGTTTACACTTACTGTTTGTCATTCTTGGATACACAAATGAATTATCTGAGTGTTTGCAGAGGAGAGAGCAAGATATTATTCATGCAGTCCAACTAGTTGGTGTGGCAAAAAATAGAATGCAACACTTGAGGTCTGAAGGATGGAATCAATTCCTTCAGAGGGTCACTTTGTTTTGCAATAAACATGGTGTCCAAGTTTCTGCGCTATGGAGGGTAATTATGTGCCTTTTGGAAGATCACGGCGATTTATCCAAAATCGAACAAATGATGATCACTTTAGAAGAGAGGTGTACATTGGGGTCATTGATAAAATCAGTCAAGAGCTTGATAGTCGGTTTGATGAGGTTAATATGGAGTTGCTTTCTTGTGTGACTGCCCTCAACCCTTCGAATTCATTTGCATCATTTGATGCACAGAAGGTACGCCGACTTGCTGATTTCTATCCTAAGGACATATTTGGCTCTGATTTGTTAAGGCTAGAATTGCAACTTGATACCTATATTGATGTCATGAGACAAGATGATAGATTCAATGGCCTACAGAACCTTGTTGACCTCTCACTTAAGCTAGTGGAAACAAATAGGCACAAAGTTTATGACTTGGTTTACTTGCTTCTCAAAATGGTATTGCTTCTACCGGTGGCGACCGCAAGTGTAGAGAGGGCATTTTCTAGTATGGATTTTGTCAAAACCAAGCGGAGAAATAAGATGAGTGATAGTCTTTTGGATGACTGCCTTGTCACGTTCATTGAGAGAGACATTTTGGAAGATGTGGAGGAAGATGATGTAATCAACACTTTCATGGCTATTAGAAAGCGTAGGCCCAAAAAATAGTGTTGTAATCTTATTTGTTATTTAAGCTTGTGTTGTTTACATTCCAAACTATTAGTACGCTATTTTGGACTATTTGTACTGTAATTTAAGACTTATTATGCCATTTAGTAGTTGTGTACTGAATTGTTGGGCAATTTTTATGAAACTTTACCGAATTGCTAAATGGTTTTTCCCGGTTTGCATATGAAATTTTTGGTTCGGCATATCCCATGTAAAAATCCTGGCTCCGCCGTTGTCCTATAGGCCTTATTTTGCAAGGCTCTAGCTTCGAGGTCTCGTGGTTCTGCCAAACGCACACAAAAAAAAGACTCTTCGTAGGGAGCCTAGAGGAGCTAGAGAAAAAAATGTCTTGTCCTAGCTCATCCTCATAAACTTAATATAAATTAATAAAAAATTGCCACTGGAGCTATTTTAGACAAACGTTTTCGAGACGGTTTCAGCTCCACCAGAGAAGCTGCTCTACACGAGGAGCAAAAAACTAGAGCCCTTTTAAGAGGAGTCGGAATCCTACCAAATAGGACCTAAATAAAGAATTACTCCACTAATCCCTAAAAATTGAAATTTCTCATAAAAAGAAAATAAAACATCACTATTCAAAATTGCAACGGTCCCTTGAGTTTCACTGGAGCCTCCAATTGTGCTAGGCATGGTTGTCTATGTAACACTACAAAATACAAAAAAAAACATGAATAATATGCAAAAAAAAACGTCAACTATTATATACTACACCAAATTACCTTTTTCAGTTCGCTTGGCCAGATTGTCCTTGACTAACACTACTCTGCCCTCTAAATAGGTGCCATAGAAAAATCTTGATATTTAGTGAAGTACCATTTTTTTTTTATAGAACTGATCCAAATTAGAGAAGCTTGACTTAGTTTGTCCAGACACGATGCAGAGTCCGATTTGAAATACAAATTGGAACGTATGAACGATGGTTGGATAAATCTATAAGCCTCTCATGTCCATACGAATTAGAGCAGTGTACATCCATATATGGTATAGAGTACGATTTTAGATGAATTGAAACACTTTTGAATAAATCTACGTGCTGCAAGTTATCTAGTTATTTTTTTTTAAAAAATGTACTTTCCCTATCACAAAAGAATATACTCCATTTTATCACGATTTGAAACTAACAGACTCGATCCAGCCCAATATCTGCAGCATTGGAGCCCACTCCCCCAGCCCACAAATATCAAGCCCGTGCAGGACTCGGAGTCAGGCTCCACAGCCCACTTACTACACTTGAAAAAAAAACAAAGAAAACAAAGGGCTCCTTTGGATTGAGGGTGAAACGTAGGAAAACATAGGATTCTAGATCCTAAGGAATTAGGCACTGTTTACCCTTTTGGATCGCAGGAATCGATCGCAGGAAAAACGGAGGAAATATTCCTATGCCAACCATTCCAGAGGACAAAACGGAGGAAACTAACATCCACGCCGACCTCTTTTTTTCCATTCCTTTGCGTAATCACGTCCAGCGACCTCATCGCAGAAGCACGGCATAGACGAAGTCAAAAAAGAAAAAAAGCAAAGGAGCTCAAAGCGCTGGTCCGGCCGCTTGCCGCCGCTGCAACTCGTCGTCGGCCGCCCGCCCAGCCAGTGCGAGCTCGAGCTCGTCGTTGCTCGCCCGCCAGCCGCGTTAGAGCTCGAGGGCCTCAACGCTCCGGGCTGCTGCACCGTGCTTGCCGCTTGCCGCACCGTACGTAGGTCGAACTCGCTCATTCCGCATCTGTCAGCTACTCGGATGGTCGCGCGCGCGTCCTGCCTGCCTGCCGCCTGCGATGGACTCTGAGAGACAGGGCGAGCGGATGAAAACAAATGCGGGAGAGGACAAGATCGAGTTTTTTTTTTTTTTTTTGCGGCGGTTCCGTGGCTGGAGACTACGAGCGGCATGGCTTCTAGGATGACCACGTATATGTACGATACAATAATATCTTTGCAATTCTTTCTAATGACAGGTGATTTAAGTTTCCTAAGTTTTCTATTCCTACGAATTTCCTGTGTTGATCCAAACAACCACCAATCCAAAATTTTCTATGATTTTGATTCCTTTGTGTTTTCATATGCCATCATATCATATTCCTATATTTTTCCTGTCGATTCGAAAGGAGGCCCAAGTGACGGAGGAAACAAAGCACAACAAACTACCAAACCAACAGCGACAGCAATGCCGTTCCCCGTGCGCCTCCCGCCGCCATCAACCACCGTGGCCGCGGTCGCTGCCACCGTCGGGGCCGTACTCGCCGCCGTCGCGCTCCGCCGCTACCTGTCCGCTTCCCGCCACCGCCCATCCGCCCGCGTGTCCATGTCCGCGGCCGCCGGAGCAGCCACCACGCTCATGGCGTACGGAAGTCAGCGCAGGAGCAGGAGCTGCTGGCCTCCGCTGCCGGTTCCATCGTCCTAGAGGAGGGCGAGCCGGCCAGTGAGGTCTCCGTCGTGCTCTACTACGAGGGTGCGGGCTTCGACGCCGCCGCGTACATGAGTGCACTCCGGGCGCGCCGGTTTGGGAGGTGGATGCTCTGGACGCCCAGGATTGGTTCCACGCAGGATTACATCGCGCGGTGAGTGCGATGTCTGGTTTCGTGCCCGGGGGATTGGGTTTTCGTTTAGGCCTCGTTCGTTTGTCTCAGATCGGCCCAGAAAGAGGTCCATTCCACCCAGATTGAGCCAACACAGAATGAATACCAGTCCAGCACGGAACAGGCGTTCGGTTAAGGCTAGCCTAGATTATAATCAGGCCCGTTTCAACAATTCGACCCCTTTTACAGTCTGGAACCAATCTCCACCTATGACCCGCGGGAACGAATCCCTCTGGAATCCGAATAAAAAGCGGGCCGGATTCAAGCCTAAGCTGCCGAAGGAGGCTTTAGTCTTATTTTACTCTATTTGACCTGGCGCGTCAGCTCATGTTCCTAGGAACTTTGCAAAGCTACCGGTGGGCGTTGTGTGCGTTGCCGACGTGCAGTTCAAAGGGAGAGGTGCGTGTGATTAGGGGCTTGCTTGTTGCTGTTAGTGTTTTAGTCCTGATGAATTTGCAACTTTGGTTACAAAGCTCTCGAGTTTTATTTCAGGCGAGATTGATGCATTCTTGTACTTCAGATAATCATCGATGAAACTTTTTTTTCGAGAACGTGCATAGCACATGTTTCATCAAGAAGAAGTTTAGAAGATTTACACGTCCAACATCACATCACGGTGAGGTGCCATGACGGATGGGGTTGAACACGAACACAAGGCACCGTTAGACGGTGGAACGCACGCTGCTGTAATTAACTAAGAGACTAAATGTGCAACCAAAGAGTTTGTGACGTTGAGCGAACCCGTGCTTAAGACGCCTGCGGCGCCGCCGCCTCTTGCGAGCACCAGCCATGCGGAAGAGCTCACGCATGGCTGCGCATTTGCGGCTCTTGGAACGTCTCGTGGAACTGAGTCGCGATGGACGTGTCAGGCGTCGCTGGCGAAGACCACGGAGCGCTCGCCGAGGGCCGCCATTTGGTGAGCATCACCCGCTTGGCCTGTTTCTCCGGGTTCGGGTCACGGTAGATGGACTTGGCTGCGAGTCTGTCACTGCGCCGCGGCATGAGACTTTCGACAGGCACACGCGAGACGCGAAGGCGCGGCGGCGACTGGATCAGCGGGTTGTCGAGCGGCAGCTTTAGACTAGCAATGAAGTCTTGGACTGAGTTAGGTTGGACTGAAGGATGATCGGCACCAGGCACGTTGTCTTGAGATGATCCCTCATTAACAGGAGACTGGACGGGTGGAAGCGGCCCAGTCGGCGGTCCATTGCAAGAAGGAGGCCCAACCATGCACCCACTTCCCTCTGTTACCACCTAGACGTGTGGCAACACCAGAGAAGTGTCCACACAGTCCACAGCGATGTCCAGAGGAGTCGCAATCTCTGGGCTTGCAGGTACATCAGAGACCACGTCTCTAAGATGAACGGGTGAGACGTTGGTCTCCGCCGCGTGGTCATGCTCCTCAGCGACCACATCGGCTGCCCACGACGACTACGTAGGCGCACTTTGCAGCGACATCTCCGGCTCAAAAGGTGCAGCCCATTGGTTAGAAGACTCCAGGAGTGGTGGCGCTTCCTGGCCCACCAGATCAGCGACTCTGAGCATTGGATCCCACCTCGCTGGCCGCACGTCAGGCATTGCTAGGATTTGAAATTCAAAATGCAGGGAGGCCTCGGATGCCTGGGAGGTATGCGACACAGGCTCTGACGTGGGATGGTGACGAGTCTCCGCTGTCAGCAGTTGGACCCACTTGCATGGGCCAGACGACCATGGACCGCCCCCTGGTTGGGCCGGGCATGGGAAGGACCCGACGATGACGGTGGGCCCCCAGTGACCCGCGCGAAGGGGATGACGACGGAGTGGCTGGAGGTGGGTGCTACGACGACGTTGAAGAAGACGATGTCGGGTGGCGTCTAGGCTCAGCTATGCTGGGCGGCGGTGGCGGCCGGCGCTGGTCCTAGAGCCGAAGGAGGCGGCACGACGCTTCTCTTGCCCTGGCGACGTTGCGTGAAGAAGAATGGCCGCGCTTGCAGTCCCGTGCACGGTGGACCGTGTGCCTGTAGAGCAGGCAGTGGGACGGGAAGCGACAATCAGCAGCGACATGGTCCCCGGCCAGACAGTTGAAGCTGAGGCCGACCAGGAACAGCGGGACCGGACGTGGGTGCGAGGCGCGGGGCCAGCAGTGCCAGCGACGGTGGCTCTCGGCGAGTGTGAAGCCTTCAACGTCGACACGTGCACCAGGCCTGGGGACATGGTGGTGTGGACAGGAATCCTGCGTCGTGGCACGAGTGGGGGGCAGGTGCACCTCGACACGGCTGCGCAGCGGAGGACGGCGATGAGCGTCAGCCATAGGCCCCACCCAAATGTCATCACACGGTGGAGGGGAGCGACGAGCATCCACCATGAACCCCAACCTATTGTCACCACGCTGCGGAGGGGGGCGTCGGGCGTCCACCATGAACTCGGACCCGTTGCCAGGCGCGCGGGAACAGTGCGTCCTATGGCTTGTGGCCAAGATAGCCTTGCCCCTACCGTTGTCAATGACGGGGAATGGCTCGAGCGACTCATCGGACGATGCTTCAGATTCGGAGACGGAGAACATCTCCTATCCAGCCTAGGTGGATGGGCCCGCGACTACCGGAGAGGAAGGTGCCTAAGGGGCGGCGAAGGGGGAGAGCAACCTTGCAGCCTACTCTAGGACGGCGTTGGCTGTGGCCGCTAGGGGAGACAGCTTGGTGGAGGTCCCACCAGGATCTTCAGAGCCGCCGGACTCCATGGACTCTATGGAGGAAGATCCGGTCGACACAGGAGCAGGGGAGGCACGGTGGGTTGAGGCCGAAGTAGCCCGCAATCTAGGGGAGGCGGAGTAGCCAGCCTCTGCTAGCGCGGCCGTCTTCGCCGGCAGTGGCGGCAGCGGTGCCGGCGACGAGGGGATGCCGCGTCGGGCAAGGTGGAGGTGGCTCGTGGGTGGGAGGTGGGAGAGGGAGGGGGAGGGGAATGGGGAGGAGAGGTAGAGGTGGAGGCGGAGGCGGGCGCCGGTGCCGAGGAGGCAGCCGGCGGTGGCGAGGTGGGACCCGCCAGGGGCTAGGGTTCATCATCGATGAAAGTGATGAAACTATCTGCTGAATGCTACATAATCTTTAAGATCAATTGCTTGAAAAATCCAGTCTTAGTCAATAGTCAACAAAAGTAGAATCTGACGGTAGTGTGACACCTCTTTATCAAAATAACTGTTTTAATTGATTCTACTTTCTTGTGGCAATTGAAATTCATTGGTTTAACACATTATCATACATAACATTTCTTTTTTTTATTTATCTTTCTAATCACATAATTATAGTACGCACTATGTGCTATTGAGAGGTAACAAATTTAATCTTTGCTCATGAATCGTGCAGGCCGTTCAAAGAATGCGTGGGAATCGCCACCAGGCTGTCTCATGTTCTCTTTCACATCACAGATGCTGGATGCACGGAAGTTGCCCCTTATGCAATATGTTATCTGCCTTTCTATAACTGAAGCTATCAAGGAGCTATGCCATGCCAAGGTTAGGTTATACTTTAGTGTAGTCATGTTTGCTGCTTATTGATTGCATTATGATCCCCTATTTTCTTTAGGCTAACTACCTCAGTTGCCATTTCATTCTGCCTTTGTGATAAAACTCAGGGACTACCAGAACTTGATGTGAGGATAAAATGGTCTAATGATCTTTATCTGAAAGGATTAAATGTTGGTGGCATTCTATGCACCTCATCTTATGAACCCAAAGTCTACAATATTTGTACCGGTAAAACATGCATTTCCAATTTTGCTGATTCTAAGCATTTAAGCTCTTTTGTTTCTTTTGACAAGGATGGGATTCCTTTGATCTTAATCAGGTGTGGGTTTAAATGTTGACAATGAGAAGCCTACCACATGCTTGAATGCTGCACTTCAAGAGGCAAACCCTACATCACCCATATTGAAACGAGAAGACATACTGGCATACTTCTTCAATAAATTCGAAAATCTTTTCGAGATATTCTTGAACCAAGGTACTTTGGATTTCATTTCCCCCAATTTTTTAAGTACATGACCACATGCTCATTAGAACCGTGGCTGTTGATGCATATACAGAGTTGGTTCCTTTCCTGACAATGGATTCAATGATAATTTTGTTTTGCTGTAGAGACTGATTATTTTCCTATAACTGATTTAGATGCTGACAAAACATGTTTTAAACTTGGCTGTATTTTTTTTTAACTCTAGCCTGCCCCAACTTTCTTGGGACTAAAAGGCTTTGTTATTGTTGGTAAAGTTGTGTACTTAACATCCTCAAATTCCGCTGTAGGATTTCAGGCTCTTGAGGAGCAATACTATAACTCATGGCTTCATAGGTATGGACTATTATCTCAATATATACATGTTCATTGGACCTTATTATGAAATTTTGCCCCGAACTACATTTACTACCACTTGGATTTTAAGTGTTCATTGTAAATATCGGAAGACAGTGCTTGCAAGTTAATATGGTCTATCCTTGGTATGTGCCACTATATGTGAAAGAGATTTGCACTTTTCCTTGTTATGTAGTGGCCAGAGAGTTGTCGTACAAGATGCACATGAAACCAAGTCAGGCAGTGTCGTCACTATCCAGGTTAACACAAAACAGAACTGTTATGATTGAATTGATATTTCCACTTACCTAATGGTACTAATCCTTTCCAGGGGTTAACACCAACTGGTTACTTATAAGCTATTGGCAAGGATAACAAAAGCTATGAGTTGCACCCAGATGGCAACAGGTATTGCCCATTAGACTGTCTCCAACAAGTAACCCATATGGGCATCCAAACCCAAAATGGGTAGCAAGAGACCCAAAATCAGTCTCCAACAGAGTACCTAT